ATTTTGTTTGAAAAGCAGCTAGACCGTTTTTATCCAAACAGTGTGCACCTACTCTACACCAGTTATCTGCTGCTGTAAGAGCAAATAATCGAAACTAACCTTAAAATGATATTATAAATCTAGTGATGTTCTGAAGATCTCTAGACATAGATGTGTGATTGCATTCCTTGAGAAGAGCTCTGATTTGGTATCCTTTATTTTTATGCCATGTCTTTTGAGGTAAGAAGCAATTGGTTAGTTTTGAGAGCTCTTCAATTAATGGTGATGCCTGATGATGATTTTTGTTTCATGTGGCGGCTCTGCGTGTGTTACAAGCACTTAGCCGAAGGTTTGGGTTTATTAACCCAGTAAGTTGTGTGCAAGTTAATTAACTTTTAATTGTTTGATTGGCCTGCACTTCATTCGTTTATAGATTTTTTATGTGTCTGTTAGATCCTTGCATTCTGGACCATCTTTGTCTTTTAGATTGAAGATGAAATGATCAATTGGTAGAACCCGGCCTTTGTATATTTGCCAGATGATTTTGTAATCATTAAAGTTCTGGCATTTTGTTACTGAAGTGATTATTGTACTTCTACCAAAATGCAGTGATTCCTGATTAGATCTTTTTGATGCTCCCTTAGGGGGGAGAAAGCTGGGGTTCTGTCAGGTTTCATTAAGAAAACAAATGCAGTGGAGATGAAATGGATTATAATGATCATACTTAAAGGTATCTTGCCCTAATTACCTGAAATTTTTTCTTTCTTTTTATTTTTTAGTACTGATGTTTATAAGGTTTTTTGTTTGCATAGATTTGAAGATGGGAATTAGTGAGAAGAGTATTTTTCATGAGTTTCATCCAGACGCTGAAGACCTCTTCAATGTGACTTGTGACCTTAAGCTTGTTTGTGAAAAGCTGAAAGATAGGAGTCAGCGGCATAAACGACAGGTTATTTCTTGATTGATGTCTCACATGATTGTAGCTCATGTTGATTATTTACTTTCTTCATTTAGTTTTATTTTTCATTTATTTTCATGTTTTTTTTCCTCAAATTTTTTGCTTTATTTACTTTTTTTTTATTGTTTCAAGTTATATTATTTTGAGTATGCAGTTGCTATATTAGGTTGTTACATTTCTACTCACAAAACCTTTTAAGGCATTTTATGTTACTAGAATTTTGTGATGGTTTGCAATTTGTAAATTATATATATATATAAGTTCCTTAATGATATTGCATATGACTTTCTTCTTTGTTACCGTTTTTAATGGAAACATGAATTTGATTAGAGCTTGATGATTGCTGACTTATCCAGCTTTCTTGTAAACCGTATGAAAATCTATGTGGATTATGACCAATCTTTCCTGCCAAGTCCTTTTACCATGGTAGACAACTCTTTCGATGGATTGTGTTCTAGCAATCATAAGTTTTTTTTGCAAAGTTTGAATGTAAACTTCTTTCTTTTTGCCACGATCTTTTGTTGCATGTTTTGATTTGTCACTGATGCAGGGCTGTTGTTCAACTATAGGATATAGAAGTGGGGAAAGCTGTTAGGCCTCAGTTGGCTTTGCGGATCAGTGACGCTACAACTGCATGGAGGAAGGTAGTTTTTAAGGGGGTATTTACATACATACCACTCAATTCTTATGTATTTACATATCTAACTCTTAAACTTTGATTTTATATTTACACCACTCAGATCTTTCATATCACATAAAAAATACCACTACTATTTAGTGAAGTGCACCTTTTTAGGCATAGCTATTGTGGCATATATGTAAAGATTGACTGTTAGGTGTTAGATATGTAAATACATAAGCATTAAGTGGTATGCATGTAAATCTTCCTTTTTTTATAGTGCAGTAGTGGTTTGAATAATTTTTGGGCTGTTGCGGCTCTTTAAGATTGTACATAAAATTTTTTAAAATTATTTTGTCCCCTGTTCTAGGTCTTTTCGGGTTGGCGTGTCCTTGACTATTAAATACATCTTCACCCTTGTACTTTAGTTGTAATTCAGCTCTCTGATACCCTGCATTTAGTGCTTGCAAACGACTTTGGTTTCTTTATGTATAATATTAAGCTGTTGTAATTAAATTTGGCGTGGAACTCTTAGATTGGTGTACAGAGCTAAAAAGAGTTTCATTATATATATATATATATATAGGGGCTAGAGGTTATCCTTGTTCTGAATGCGTGCCATATTTAATGGTTTTTATTGTGTATTAGCTTTTTTTTGTTCAGTTACAACAATATTGGATGATAAAAAATATTCCATATGTCCGAGCTATACCTTTAGCTTGTATTTGATTTTACTAGTTTTATTGAAGTTTAAGTTTAATTTGTAATGCTTTTCAATTGTTTTTGCTAACACTGCTTGTATCTCTGCATGATGATTGTGAAGGCGTTTCTGAAGATCTTTTTAATATATGTAAGAGCAACATACGAAACCTATGTTGAGAAGTACTAAATTGCATGTGCATGTTATACATGAAAATTGGAAAGCACTTTGACATTGATCCAAGATGCGAGAGAAAGAAAAATAGGTGGGAATGGAATTCAATTCACATGGAAATTGAAACTCAAAATCAGGTTAACAACTTCCACTCAGAATTCCCCTCCAATTATCACCTACGAACCCAGATTTAGGGTTAACAGAGTAAAATTTAGTTCTTCCAATACTGCATTAACAAGTTAAGAACGTAACATTATAAGAATTGCTGCACTCGGTTGTGAAGTAGAAGGAATTCACTAGTTAATGGAAGGTAGAAGCAAGAACCCTGAACTCGTAATCTCCAACCTTCCTTCGAATGGTTTGGGGGTGTCTCCACAATGTTATTTTTTTTTTTTGTATCCTCATACAGGGCAACTTCTTGATTTCAAGAATGGATGGGCAGTGGGCGTTCTTTCTCTGATTTTCTCAATATCTGGCTTATAGTTTTTGAATTTGATGGGCAGTGGGCGTTCTTTTTTTTATTTTCTCAATATCTGGCTTATAGTTTTTGAATTTGAGTAAAATTTGAAGCTCTCCTGAACCAAACAAGACAAGAACCATGAAGTAACTGATTTCATTCTGAAGTAACTATATCGTCGAAAAAGAAAATAAGAAAACCTGTTTAATAAGCCTTTCAGGTTCCTTGACATCCATAGAAACTCAAGGTAATCCTGTTTGATTTCTACCGTATGATAACTGAATTAATAATAATAATAATAATATGAAAAAAGCAAGTTGACAGTAAAAGATAAAGGAGAAGGAAATCTCGTGCGTGCCTTTGCTGATGAAAAGATAAAGGAGAAGGATAACACGATTTTGTCTTTAGGGTCCCATTAGAACCAAAACATAACCAAGGGAGCGAGAGTGGGAGGCTGAGAAGAAGAAAGGAGAAGGAAATCTCGTGCTTGCCTTTGCTGATGAAAAGAGGAATAGGACGTAGAAGAAAGAAATAAGTTTCTGTTTGAAGGTAGAGGGTTACGAATGACTTCAAGACGTGGTAGAAGGAAGTGGAAGAAGCCACTTGCGTGCTTGAAAGACTTCATCTGTGCGAAGGAGGCTCATGAGCGGCGTTGAGGAGGAAGGAATCCTATTCGAGCGGCTCTGGTGTGAAGAAGAAGAGAAGGGAGGAGAAGGGGACGCTCATGTGTCTTGAAGGGAATAACATTCATGCCCTAACCGAGCAAAGAGGAAGAAGAATCAAAGGAATTAGGGTTGCAAGCGTTTTGTACGAGGGAAGAGGAAGAGCTACTACTTTGAGAAATGTGCTGGGGCTTTCTTGTGCTAGACATACCGAACCTAGCTTTAAGAAAGCAGGAAGAGGGACTTAGTGTGAGTTAATGGAGAATCAAACCAAATAGTGGATTAAGGTATGTTAGGGTTCAATTTTTTAATTAAATTAATTAAATATGTTATGAAATTAACATTCAGGTTTTATGAATTAAAAACAAATATAAGAAGTGGTAGATTTGTAGGAAGGACTATCGATTCGAGCAAATTTTGGCATGGTAAGAGTTTGAATGTTTTATTTATATAAGATATTTTGTTTGATTAAATAGATGCTATTAAGTATAATTTATTGAATTTAGCCGGTGTTTATAGAAAATTTAATTTAACAAATTTGTGCTTTGGATTGTGATTTGGGCAAAAGAGGTAGAATCAAAGACGAGTTGATTTTAAAAGGAAGTGACACAGGAGTTTACCTGGTCACGATACTATAGATGCTAAAGTGTCGCGGACGCGGTGCTATTGCTGCCACAATATAGCGGTCTAACCCTTCCCTCCCCCTCTCATTTTCTATTCCATCCCCTTCCCTAATTCTATCCAATTTCATTTCCTTCATATTCTATTACTTGCTTTTTTTATCTCCTTTCCTATTTCTATTCATTTCCAATTCCAATTCCTCCCTATTCATTGCCTACCTTTTCTACCACATTTCTATCCCAATTTCAAATTTTTTTCTTATTTTTTTGTGCTAGGATCCTTATATTATATTATGTTTCCCAAGGGTGGGGAAGATTTTGATGATTGTTGATTTCAATTGTTGCTTCAAAGCGTTCTTCCCCTTCAGGGGTTGTCCTGACGAAGAGAAGGTGTTCCGGCTGTAACTCGTCTGAGGTGGTGACTATCTCCAAAGGTCCAGGTGGTATTGCGGTTCTAGCTCGACCCTGACGAGACATTTATTCTTCAACAACCCCTCTAACCCCTATTTTCAGCAGTTGCAAACCATCTTCATTGTTGTTGTTCAGGCCTACAGCCCCCTCCCAGTAGGTGCAAGCCACCGCACAGACCTTCAAACCCTTTTCGGCTGCCACCCAAACCTCCGACTTCCTCCCAACAACCGTACAAGCCCTTCCGACCTTCCTTCTGCTACTGGCAGCTTTATCTTGCCTCCTTGTAGCAGCCTGTCATCCCTCTAGTTCTACTCCATAAGGCCGCCGACCTCCTCCTACCAGATAGACCTCTAAGCATCCTCTCTTTCAGTTAGTGCCGTCGTCACATGCTTCTATTCAAGTTGTTGCAGCAGCCCGTCCCCACCCCTCCAACAGCTGCTCCAACCAACTCCACCAGATTAGTCAATGATGACTCCCTTCCAACCCATCCTATTGTTGCAGCTTTCACCAAACCCGTCTTCTATCTGCTGGTCAGCCGCCACCCACCCCCCCACATCATCGCCTTAGGTTGTATTTTATGTTTGTGGTCATTTATTTCATGTTCGCAAGAGTATTGCTTGTAACCTTTTGAATTCAGTAGTAATAATTGTGTTTTTTCGTGGTGGGCTGGGCTTTCTCCAATATCATTTGGTATTAGAGCTAGCCCAATTCTAGTTATCCTAGGGTTCCTTGGCATCCCCCCTACCCAAACCACCCCATCGATTTTTTTGTTCCCCTAAAAGCTTCGACAAATGAGGTCGAAGCTTCCCCAATCCTTAGTGTAGCTGCCACAGTGTCGCAGACGCAATACTGTAGGTGCTACGGGCAGTCCAACCTTTCCTTTCCCCTCTCCTTTTCTATTCCATCCCCCTTCCTATTTTTATCCAATTCCACTTCCTTCCTATTGTATTGCTTGTTTTTTCTATTCTCATTTCTATTTCTATTTCCTTCCCATTCCATTTCCTCCCTATTCATTTCCTACATTTTCTGCCACCTTCCACTTCTAGCCAAATTTTAAATTCATTACTATCTCTTTGTACTGGGATCCTTTATATTATGTTGCGTTTGCCTAGGGTAGGGAGGTTTTTGATGATTGCTGATTTCAATTGTTGCATTTTAGGCATTCTTCCTCTTCGGGAGCTGTACCCGATGACGAGAAGGTGCTCCGGTTGTAACTCGTCTGAGGTGGTGACTGCCAGCAAGGGTACGGGTGGTGTTCCGGCGGTAGCACGACCCCGACAAGACATTTATCCTTCGACAACCCCTTCGACCCCGCTTTCAGCTACTGCAAACGATCTTCTTTGCTATCTTCCAGGCCTCTAGCCCCCTTCCAGCAGTTTCAAGCCACTTTCCAACTACTGCACAGACCTCCTGGCTCTTTCTAACAGCCACCCAGACCTCTGGCCACCTCCCAACAGCTATGCATGCCCCTTCCGACCCTCTTCCTACTATTGGTTGCCCTGCCCCTTTCTGCCACCTTCCAGCAGCCCGCCATCCCTCCAACTCTACTCCATAAGGTCACCAACCTTCTCCACCTACCAGACGAACTGCCAGGCATCCCATCCTTCAGTCAATGTCGCCGTTAGTGGCTGGGGGCGTTAGTGGCGGCAGCCGCGCGCCCCCGCCCCTTCAACAGCTGTCGCAACCCACTCCACCAAGTCCAGCCAATGAATGATGATTCCTTTCCAACCTTCTTACTGTTGCCGCCTTCACCAAACCCGTCTTCTACTTGCTAATCAACCGCCACCCCCACCCCCTACGCCATCGCTCTAGGATGTATTTTATATTTGTTGTCGTTTGTTTCATGTGCACAAGAGTCTTGTATGTAATATGATGAATTTAGTAATAATAATTGTGCTTTTTCATGGTTGTTTGGGCTTCCTCCGGTATTAGGAAGTAAGTTGATGATCAAGCTTGCAAGGAGGTCTTTGAAGAGTTAATGTTAGTAATTGCTTTCTTATTGGTATTAAATTAATGATTTTTTTAAAAATTATATTTTATGGATAAATGATCATAATAACATTGATAAATAAAAATAAAAGAAGTTACAGTATTGTTTTAAAAATAATATTTCATTTATGATTTTGTATTTTGAATGTTTGAAAGATTTCTCATAAATGGGAAGAAATTAATTGAAATATGAAAGTACGTTTAAATGATTTTAAATTGATATGACATGATAAATAAAGTCATTTAAGATTCCTTTTTTTAGGCCAAGAGGTTGATAGCGAGATCTCAAATCAACTTGTTGGTCTCATGGTATATCTCAACATAGAAGATGAGACTAGGGATCTTTCTTTGTTTCTCAATTCTCCAGGCGGATGGGTAATACCAGGAATAGCTATTTATGAGACTATGCAATTTGTGTCACCGGATGTACATACAATATGTATGGGATTAGCCGGCTCAATGGGATCTTTCATTCTGGGCGGAGGATTCATTTTTTTTATGGTACTAGGCTCACTTGTACTCGTGCTCGGAAAATGAAATGTAAATAATAAAGGTGTACATTTGGGTGTAAAATTTTTAGGATAGTTACAGGTACAAACTTTTGAGTGTATCTTCGAGTATAACTTTTTGAGAATACTTTCAAGTATTACGCAAATCTTAATAAATTTTTTTTTTAAAAAAGACAAGTTAAAAATATAAATGACTTAAATTGCACGGTAAGGGTTAATTTAAAATAAAAGCTTATAGTTTGATTAATTAATGAATCACATTTCTTTTGGACATTCATGCTTAGTATTCACATATTAATTTAATGCACAACAAGATTGTAATTGCTCACTAAGTTGTGTTAAATTTATTGTTTAAATTATTTATTTTTTAAGGCAAAAGTGTAGATTGATATTACTGACAGGATAGAGTTAGTTTACAGTAGGAGGATTATTGGCTATAGGTTTTCAGTTATTTTATTTCAAATTGATGTTGTGCTGTAGTTGGTTGAATTGCAATATTGTTTTACTTTTAGATTAAGTCGTTGCTTTGGTTGGATTTGATTATTGTTTAGTGTACTTTGTGATTTTTAGTAGCTCTTTTTATTATTAAAAGTTATGATGACTTTTTATAATTTAAATGAAAGGTTAATATCGTTCGACGACAGTTTCTTACTTGGTTAATTCTAAGCTATCGGGCCGGGCTGTCGGGCCATCACATGTTGAATGCCTAGTGATGTCATTTCCTGTCCCAAATCTTTCGCATTACCAATCCTGTACACATTTTCTATTTCAGTGCATGGACTGGGAGTGCAGGCTAGGCTTTGGACCTTTCTTGCCCCAATAAATGTACGTGTAAAACCTTGGACTTGCCGTTGTATTACCAATCCTACACATTTTCTATTTCAGTGCATGGACAGGGAGTGCAGGCTAGGCTTTGGACCTTTCTTGCCCAAATAAATGTACGTGTAAAACCTTGGACTTGCCGTTGCTGCAGGAAAACAATGATTTTTTCAACATTCTAATAATGAAATGAATTACAAAGAAACAACAGTTAAATGTTAAAGTGGAGATTTAATTGAGGAAATATTACGAATTAGGATCAAAGAACGCGTTAACAAATTCTTCTATCAAGAATCAAGGTTTATTCCAAATGGACTGGCTGTAACAATGACCTGTAACAATGAACTTCCAATTTCTGCAATTGAGAAGTGGTTGAACCACCGGAAGCCACAAAAGAAAAGCTTACGGCCTAGGCAAACCAATTGTGGCAAGGCCTTAGACCCCCACTATGGTTGCCTCCTCCCTACCTCTCCTAAACAAAGGAGAAATCCACCTCAAGGATAGAAAGATCTGAAACAGACTAACCAAAAGCCCCCTCCCCCTTCTAAACATAGCTATTTGTAGGAAATTCTTGGAACCCATAGGCCCCGCTAATCACCAAAATACCCTTATAAAACTACGCTTTCTTAGGAAATAGAACTCTCCAATTAATTTTTATTAAAAGACATGACCTGATCTCTAACTATATCACACTTTCAAAGAATCTTGTTAATCTTTTTCAGTGTAATGGTGGCTTGATTTGTACCAAATATGTTAGCACAACAACTATGCGACATTATCAAAGAAATCCTTGGTGAGAATTTGTCGAAAAAAGATGTTCCCTCTGTTAAAAAATTGCCTCAACAATCATATACAACTATCTGCTGGGCACCCAATTCATGGAGCAGCATGATGTGAGAAAAGTGCATTCTTTGTTCAAATTTAGCTTGCATCTCAATGATGTGATGTCCATTTCTTTAGAAATAAAGTTGATAACTTGGTATTCACCATTTTCTTCGTGGTCATATGTTGTAGCAGAAACAACATTAACCTCAATAAAAACTCTATCATAGTCTGCATCATCACCATAATCATTGCTAAAGAAAACAAGAATATCATTTTTGGTCGTATCATTTGTTGTTATTACTATAAAAATAGAAGAAGCATCCCTAGCATGAACCCTATAAAACTGTTGGGTGTTGTGCTCTTTTCATTATCTGATAATAAATTGTTTTTCCTTAAAAAAATTTTGAAAACTTCAATAACTAAAATGTTTTAACAACTGAAAACTTTGTTTTCAGTATATATTCCTTACCTGGTTATAATAATTCATACAAGTGCTAAAAAAAAAGGAACATTGGTGATGTAATAGTGAAATTGAAGTTTTTCTATTATTATCAATTACCATTATATTCATACTACACAATAATTGTTGTCATTCCCACTTGTGCTTCTGTGCTTTTCTGCATCTTACTGGTGACTTTCCACCTTTAACAGTCTCTGTGGTCTTTCAATTTATTTTTTGATGAGCACATTGAGTCGGGATTGATGGGGTCTCTTCCCTAATTATTCTTATATACAATTTTATTCCTTCTGGTGGTTCAGAATGAGGGAAGACAAGTTCATACTATACAATATTTATTTGATCACTCTTTACAATTTACATTTTTTTTCTTTTGTTCTTCTAGTTTCATGGTAAGCAGATTGTGGCAGAATGCAAATTTGATGGTGATCGCATTCAAATTCATAGAAATGGAAAAGAAATACACTTCTTCTCACGGTATTTTTTATTAAGAAAAAGAAAAACTCAAGTAGTCCTTAATGCTATTTCATTGTTTTTTCTACTATCAGCTTTTTTATTTTTGTTTCCTATTTGTCCCTTGGTGTTTACAATTATCGATTATTCGATATGGTCAAATCAGAATGAACTTTGTTTTACATTTGGCATTTCACTCCTAAATTGTGGCATTATCTCTACACTTCAATTTATATAAAATGAATGTTTACTTGTGACTTTGGAAACCGCATTATTTGACTGACATCAGATCGCATAGGATGAGTAATTATTTTTTGGTGGCCTTGATCTAAAATTATTGATAGCAAAAAAGCATAAGAAATTATAAGATATAGAATTGATTATGCTTATAAGTGCCAGATTGTTATCTTCACAAGGAATGCTATCCTGACCATTAGTTGATTTTACTTTAGTTACCGCTTTGCCAGTTTACACTAGTTAATATTTACTTCAATGAATGTCTATCTTCTGGAGAAGAAAAAAGGACAAAAAAAATGAAGCAATTTAACTAAAATAAAAATAAATATGTTTTATTACTCTTTTTAATCATTTGGAATTATCACTTATATTCATTTTGGCTAGTTGTTCCTGTTATATTTGTTGCACTGTTATTGAAAGTGCGCAGAGCAGCACTTTTTATGTTCATTGCGAAGTAGAGCCGTGAAGTTGCACATCTCGATGTAAAAAAGATGGTTTACAATATATAATGATGTGAAAGCAGCAGAGCTTATTGGCGCCTTGGAGAACAAATGAAGGCTTTGTGCCATTTTTAAACTTCAGGCACCATAGTCTATTAATGTATTGGGAGCTTAAAGTAACTCTTTTGCTAATTATCTAAGCTAATATTTTTGGCTTCTTGTCAAATATTTGTTTTATCATAAATGTTATTTACTTTTTGTTGAATTTAATGAAGCTGTCATGATTTTACTCCTGTTATTGCATTCTTCTTTCTCTCTCTTCTTAAAATGAATAACAGGAGTAAAATCATGACAGCTTCATTAAATTGAACGAAAAGTAAATAACATTTATGATAAAACAAATATTTGACATATTTACTTTAGCAATGTTTTTTTTCTTCTTGTTCAGCGACAATCTGTTCCTTTTTTTTAGTAATTCTTGCCTTTTTCTTAAGCTATGTAGTTTATCGTAGCAAATTTTTATGATTAAATTTTTGAGAGAACTCAGAGGAAAGCCTTATCTTCTATTCTTGAGCTGTAGCGTTTGAATTATTGTTTCTAATTTACAATATCATTTGTAATAGAACTGGGCAATTAACAAATTGTTCCTATCATTTTTAGAATCATAGCTTTTTGGTCCTCCTTTTATAAAAGCCAGCATTTTGAACCTGCATTTTGTCAAAGGATTACTTCTAGATTCTAAGAGAGAACATATTCTTCTGTAAAGGGATCCCGATCTTGTAGCAGCAGCTCCTTACCGGATTTATGTCCAGCTTTGTCCTAATGTGAGGCCATAGGATCTTCATCACAAGATAGGTTGCCTCACAATTTTAGAAAGGGAGCTTGACATGCTGCCGTGGCAAACCAAGGTTAACCTTCGTCATCATTAGTCTGGCACCTCTTATATTGGGGGCATTTGCATACATAGCACACAATTCTTATGTATTTAGATATCCACACCTAAACTTTCATATTTACACACATAGCACTTAAATCGTTAAAATCACATAAAAAATATCATTATGATCATTTTTTAAAAGTAAAATATACTTTTTCATGCATAGGTTTAGAGCATCAGAGTGTTTTTTATGTAAATATGAAAGTTTAGGTGTGAGATATGTAAATAGATAAGATTTTTGTGCTAGGTAAAAAATGTCCCTTTATCTTATTGTATCTGTAACCTCTCCAGGTCCATCTCCAATGTCTTCTTACATTTACTGAATTTTTTTGTGCCACTTTAACCACACCATGAAACCCCCATGCAGGAATTTTCTCTAATATTAACTCTCTCTGATTCCTTTTTCTACGCCCTCTAATTAATATAATATGTTAGCTCCCATTTTTCCAATTTGTTTCTTTTCCTCTCTTTTATGCTGACTTTTTTGGCAGATTTTAATGGGACCATAAAAACAAATTATTGTAATGAGGGATTAATTTTTTTTTATTTTACTTTTGGAATGTTGTCAGCTAGTTATTAATCTCACAGTATTGACCTTGATGTCTCATTTTTGTGCTTATTTTGAATAATTTTTACTCATGCAGGAATTTTCTCGACCACACAGAATATTTACAGGGAATGTCTGATGTTATTTTGCAAAACATTTTGGTTGATAGGTAATGATTCGTTTTTAGTTTTTGCATTAAAAGACAATTATTATTTAACTAATTGTTGATTTATTGTTCTATTTATTACATTTTCCTGTTGATGGCATGATAATATGCATATCACACAAGGTACACAATGGAATTGTGAAAATTAATTGCAAATATGAAGAAAAATAAAGAAAAGGTTAACAAAAAACAAATGGTGAAGTTTTTGATGTTAAATGTTCAACTCTATTGGTTTATTTGGAAAGCAACGGGCAGCATGAGTGATTCCATTACTGGGATTTGTGAGTTGGTTTATTTGAAATCTTAGGTTTTCAGTTGGGCCGGACATTTCATTCAAATTATATATTAGGATCAAATTGATTATCTAGATTTTCATATTTATTTAACATCATCATGTTTTTTATATTTTCTATTTCGTGCTCAACTTGTTTTACGTGCTTGTATAATCATGCATATTCTTCTCAATGTGTTAAAATTCTTGATGATAAGATAATATGAAATCATAATGAAATTATCCATGTAATGCAACAGATAGGATAATCTTATGTGCATTATAGGATTAATTACTATTTTAAAATTTCAATTGCATGGCAGAATCCAATATTAGGAAATCAATTCAGCACAAATTGGAGTTATAAAAATCTACAATAGGACATACACTGCTATACTAGTTCATAAATAAATTACAAACAGTCTAGATAACTTAAAATTCTAGAAAATCATTTTTCTCACTAACTTGTACACTTGAATTGATTTTAGGTTAATTGTTAGGTGGAGTTTCTGAATTGATATTAGGATAATTAGTGGGTGGAATTTCCTAAAAAAGGAACTATATGGGGTACTGGACTTGCCACTTAACAAAAGAAAGAACTCAACTTATACCAATAATAGCTTATGACAGAGCACAATGAAAAACTCTGATATTGATGTAGTGTTTTTATAGGAAGAATTTGAGTAGATATTTTGGGGAAAATATCACTAACTTTGTGAGGAAGAAGGCTTCTCGTGATTTTCTCTAAAGAAGAAAGATTTCCTGTCTTCCTTTGATTTTTCATTAGTAATTTTTCTTTCCTACCTGTTTTTCTGTTTATTTTATGGGTCATTACAAATATGTCTTGTTTCATGGGATTTGGAGCATATTTTTCTTGGGATATCTAGAAATTTTGGTTTTCATCATTTAAAGGATAAGTGGTTATCTTCATTCGAATGTGATATGAGTTGGTTTGATTAATTTGTTGGAAGAACTTTAGAAAAAAATGTTTAAGGCTTTGAAATTAAATTGAATTTTTAATTAAAAATCATTTTTTGGTTAGTTTTGAGACATTTTTAAAAAGTGTTCGAGTGAAGCTTAAAGATTAGGGATCTGTTTGGGGCAACTGCAACTTATTAAGAAGCTGCTGAAGAATAATCTTCTGTTGCAAAAAGCTGCAGTAACTATTATAAAATTTTCCTTTTTTGAAAAAATCAGATCGTAGCTAGAAAACTCCCATCGCACCTAGACAAGAGTGGTGGGAAAAGGCTGGTTTCAGCGGTAGTTTTGTGAAAAAGCTTTCAAAATGCAGTTTACCCAAACGAACAAAACAACATTGTGGCACCGCACCGCCGCTACACAGCTGCACCAAACGGAGCCTAAGTGTAGTTAGAAAATAAGGTTTATAAGGGGGACCGTGTGGGGATTAGGCTTCTTATCCTCGTACTTGATGGAATTTTCGGTTTCTCAATATTTGAGCTCATGAGTTGGAGAGAGATGCAATTGAACTTGAGATTCTTAATTTCCTAAAAACTAGACAAATGCATTTTAAATGTGTTGCGACTTAGCTGTTCGTTATAAAAAATGATTTTCTTCTATTCAATTTGCTATTTGTTAATATTTCCATCATAATGACGCCTTCAAAAATATACATATTTTTAAAATTGAAAGAATCTAAAACAATTGATATAAGAATTTACTATAAGTCATCAAATACCAACATATCTGTAATTAAATATGCACTTCATCGATCTGCCTCAACTATAAATGATCATTTTTATGAAAATAAATGAACAAGTTGATTGATTGATTGAAAAGTTTGTTTTTTTATATAGTAACCTTGGAAAATTTGTTCGAATTTGCTCAATTCTGTATATAAATAAGTGTAAATGAGTTTTTTTTTCTTAACGAACCTTGAGCTATTCATTGAACTGGTTTCTTTTATTGGCCTACTGATGCTTATTTTTTTAATCTCTAAGGTGACAATTGACGTGTTGAGCTGTCCTTGAGCATATTCATTGCTACAAAATTCTCTCTTTTTTGTTCATTACTACATAAATTTTTTGGCACGTTCCTTTGGTCCTTATTATCTTAAAACTCTATTATTCGCCTTTTTAAATATTCTTTATGCAGGTGCATACTAGATGGTGAGATGTTGGTTTGGGATACTTCCACCAATCGTTTTGCTGAGTTTGGTTCAAACCAGGAGATAGGTTCACATGGTTATTCTCATTCTTTGGTAATTTTATTTGTCTTTAAATTATTGACTGGAAAAATGTTTCACTGCAGCGAAGGCAGCAATGCAGGGATTGCAAGGTGATAGGCAGGTACCCTGTTTCTCAACTGCTATAAGTTTTACTGTTTATAATAAGCTATATTGTCGATCTGATTTCATTTATATTGTTCTCCTTGCAGTTATGCTGTATCCTTTGAATCTGAATTCTGTTTTCATTGCGTTAATTGTGCATGTCAGAACTTCAAAAATATCTGGTATGGCTTAAATAATGAAATAAATTTACTAAAGTGCTGAATATATTACTCTATTTCATAAGCCCTGCTTGAACATGCTTCTACTTTGACTTTGTTTCCAGCATTAACTACAAATTTCCAATTTTGGTACGGCACATGGTTCCCTAAATTCATTTATAATATTTATAATCATATAGCGCTTTTATAGTTTAGGTAAATTTTGAATTAAAATTTAAGGACATGAGCAAGAGCAAGAAACGTTGAATTGGGAGCTAGTTTGTCGGTTTTATCAAAAGCAAATTGTGCAAAGAATTAATGTAATAATAGGATTGATGTAAAAGTCGAGGATACAATCTTTTGCTAATGAGGTGAAATATAGTAGAATGTGATGATTCGGGCATGGTTAACAGAGGATGAGGAAATGCCAATGTGCGACTGTTCGACAAAAAAAAATTAGAAGAGACAAGTTCAAGTCGAAGCCATGTGTTTTTAACTTATCTAATAGCTTACTCAACTATAATTGTAGCAATAATTAATAAATTGCGGTGTTGAAATATTGTGAGGTTTGATGACTTAATTTTATCTTCTTGTTTTGTGTTAAAAAATAAATAAAAAACTATATATAATTGTTGACCCCATTTTTTGTGAGGTCTCTTACTCTTATTATAGCCTATGATTTAACCTTTAGGGTTTCCTACCGACTCTCTTGAGGACTAACCTGGGGCCCGCACAAACTAGAAATTCGAGCCACTTCTTGACTCGCAATTTCAGATCGCCGGTTCTAAATCCTCAACGCTTAGTTGAGTCAATTAAAACCAGCGCGACAAAGCTCGAGTTGAGCATAGGATCTAAAGTCGTAGGAAACCCTTCGTGTCGTCCGCGCACACTCACGATGCACGAATACCACGATTCACGCATCGACTCACTCAATTATCGAAATTCAAGTCACCCGTACCCGTAAAAGGCTTTACCATCGATCACGAGCGATAATTTCAAAGAAATTTGAAGTTGAAGCTTTTTCGACCTGACCATCGACAACGTCATTCGGGCGACCCCGGATGACGAAACAAACCGCGTCAGCGCGTCTAGAACGTCGACTTTAGCTAGGAGACTCCCTCTTCGGTATGGTTTTGTGCACGAGCGAGGGGCGTGCAAATCGAGAAAAGTTAAATACCATATTAATTTTGAGGGGATATATTTGCATTATATAGTCGGCTGATGGATTTTATTTTCCCCTAAAGATCCCTAACTTGTGGCAACTCTTGGTTCCGTCTCCAATTGGAGCCCTGGCTCCCCTCATGAAGCTCGCTGTCCCCTTCCCCGCGCCTAGACTCGAATTGAACCCTAGCCGCGCCTTCCCTCTCGCTGGTCCCTCCTCTTCGCGTAACAAGGAGTTGATCTCGTCTCTCTCGACATCCTCTGCCCGAGTTGCGGCTTCCCGAAGGATCTTGTCCTTCGTCTCGCTGAGCGGAAACCCATTCGCGGTAGGTTGACTCTGTGCGTTTGTTCCCTGAGTCACGAATGTGGGAATCTCCCTCCTTGATGGTTCCTCCCTCTATAGCCTTGGCTGCGGTGCGGCCTTCTTTTTGCTGGGGGTGGCTTCGCTCGGGTAAGACCCACGAGCTTTTATTTCCTTCTTCCGCGCCTATAAAAGCCCGCGGGAGGGGATTGGTGCGGGGTTACGATTCGAGATTTTGGGGGAGACTCTGCCGGAATCGCCTCTTGTGCTTGCGAGCTTGGTGTTTGGGAAGCCTTTTGATTCTCTTCTTTTGTTTGCAAAGGCTTAAGTGAGGTACCCGTTTTCCCCTTCCTTTGCTTTCTTTCTCTATTCGACAGGGGTTGTCCCTAGGTTTCTCTTCTGTATAATAAAAAAGGGGGGATTGCATGCATAGGGTGGTTTATTTTGTTTCTGTTGATATTTAATGCTGGAATCACTGTTGGCTGTTGAGTTTTTTTAATTTGTCTTGGCTGACATTTGATGTTGGAATCATGGCTAGCTGTTGGATTTTAGCTGACTTTAGTTCGATTGCATACTGGTTGGTCTGTTTTAAATACTCCAGGATATTTAGCTGGAGATGTAGGCTCACGAAAGGCATGATTCAATTCTAATGTATGTGCTAATTTCTTCTCTATGTTCTTATCATATCTATGCTGGTTTACTGAAGTTTGAGGGTTGTTTTAGCTTTTTGGGCTGCAGTTTTCCTTGTTGCCTTGGTCTAACATGGAGGATTTCAGGGTTGTTTTAGCCCTCTGGGCTGCAGTTTTCTTTGTTATACTGGTTTAATACTGAAGCTTTTGGAGATTTTATTTTGAGGGTTTTGTTTTGTGCTTCTCTGTTTCCTCTCCTTCTGTTCGAAACATATGCTGATGGACTCCTTTAATTTTGGAGCTGTTGGGTTCTTTTATGTTGAGGCCGTCGGATTTCGTTTGTTCGTTCTCTGTTCCCCTGGGTTGAGGGAATTTATTGTTTGTTGCCCTTGCCCGAGAGCTTCCCTTTGGTTTTCTTCTTTGTTGTTTGGTTGTTTGCGGCCATCTCTGGTTTTGAGTGTTTGGGCTGGTGTTTTGGTTTGCTCCCCTACCCGTGAGCATCCCAGTTCGTCTTCCCTTGTGTTGTTTGGTTGTTTGTCGTCATCCCTGTGAACATCCCTCGATGTGGTGTTGGTTTGCTCCCCGTCATCCCTGACTGTGAACATCCCTCGATGTGGTGTTGGTTTGCTCCCCTGCCAGTGAGCACCAGCTGACTTTCTTTTGTGTGGGTTGGCTTCTCCCTGTTGTCTCTAGCTGTGAGCATTTGGTTTGGTTGTTTTGGGATTGCTTTCTCTGCCCGAGAGCATCAGAGTGGTTCTTTTTTTTTCTTTGTGAGTGGCTTCCCGTCGCCCCCTTTGTCGTTGACATCTGGCCTGGTTGCTTGTCCTGCTGTCCCTGGCTGTGAATATCTGTTGTGGATGTGGTGGCTCCCCTGCTGCCCCCTAGCCGTGAGCATCTATTTGGTTGTTCCCTCATGCTATTCTTGTTCCTACCCTAGAATATCCATTTTGTTTTCCCTTTGCGTTGGGGTTGGTGACTCCCCTGTTGCCCATGACCGTGAGCACCTTTTTGGGTTTCCTTTGTATTGTGTTGGGTTTATACCTCATGGAAGCTTTAGTTTGGGGTGGAATTGAGGGCTTGAAATATTTTAATCCTTATATTTGAAAGAGTTCGGGTGTCCCTTTTCAAGGAACGATCTATTAAATGTTGGGAGAGAATTCAGAGCCTAATCCTCTGGGCCAGGTTTATTGCAACAAAAAAAGGGAAAATCCTTTTGGTAGTTGGAGAAAGTTCAGTTGTGGCTTGGAGCAATTTTGATTGTGCTTTCCGAGGATGTTTCTAGCTAGCGTTGGTGGGTGTGCCCCATTTCATTGCTCATTCGTTTTTAGCACTTATGTCTGAAACATAAGTGCGCATGTATAGCTGCGGTTATATGTGAAACCATCAAACAATGTCGTAAGTTGGACTGTCTTTTTAGGGTATTAGGCCTTGATGATAAAAACATTTGGGGTCCAATCAGTTGAATATTTTAGGCTAACCCTCCTACCGCTTTGAACTTTTCTTTCTAAATCGATTTTGTAGGAGGGTGAGCACTTTTTTTGCTTTTTTTGCTTTTTGGTTCACTTTTCTTGCTTCTTGGTTTGGGTTTTTAGCACTTATGTCTGAAACATAAGTGCGCATGTATAGCTGCGGTTATATGTGAAACCATCAAACAATGTCGTAAGTTGGACTGTCTTTTTAGGGTATTAGGCCTTGATGATAAAAACATTTGGTGGTAGAGCATAATAATATTATATCCTACGACATCAGAACCTAATTCAAGGACCTGGTGAAACGTAGGATGACAATATTATTCTCCAATACCAGGCTAGCAGGGCACCTTTGCCCTCTTAGGTTGCTGGTGGTCCTAGCTCGACGATGCGATCGACTCGTGGATAATCATATTTAAAAAAAGAATGATAAGAACGAATACGATAATAACAGATACGCCATTTACAAAAGTACTTTAACTAATAAAACTGATATTATTTTCTCTTATATGCATGAAACATATATGTATATCAAAATATAAATTTCAAGTAATATAACTCGATTGTCCACTTGTCAATTGCCGGTATTGAGCTAAGGAGTATCCTCCTAAGTTGGTATAGTATGACACATTTCTAGTTGAATGTCAGACTCTATACATACGGGTGACCGATAGTTGTCTTCGGAGTCCCTCGAGAATACCTAAATCTGAGTCTGGCCCGACCTGAATGCTTACGACTTTCTTTCTTTCTTTAGATTTTTGTGTGTTTTCCTAAGATTTTATCGAAATCTTTGTAGAGCACTCATGGATTTCTTCGAATTTTCTCTGTGTTTTCGACAATTTTTTTCGAGTTACCGTGGGTCACCTGCAGCTTTTTCTCGGGTCTTTTCAGAGCCCACCGATCCGCCAGGTATACAGGTTTGTTTTAAATTTACAGCGTTTACTTTTGCTATTGCACACTTTACTGCATATACACATAATTCATGCCTGC